TCATTCTTACTAAATACACAAACACATGCTAATTGATCCATAAGGTCATCTTCCCTACAGTACAGGCCAGCTTGACTTCAATTTCTACGATGATTCATGCCCCAATTTGCTCAGGATTGTTAGAAATGTTGTTTGGTCAAGCATAAGATATGACAACAGAATGGCCGCGTCCCTCCTTCGGTTGCACTTTCACGATTGCATAGTTAATGTAAATTCTTTGCTTTAGGATTTTCTTATTTCTTACTCTATATAGAATGAACACACATGCACGTACTTAATTACATAGCTTTATATTCTTTCTGTCATACTCGAAATCATACTAAACCACACACACACTAATTAGTAATTGTTAGTGTTGCTTTAGTAGTTGATTAAAGGAGGTGTTATAGATAGAAGTTATAATTTTGATGGTAGAAGCGTGTTGTTTAATGATTGACACTTTGGTTACACGTACAAGTCTTATAATTGGTCCTCGTCCACAAAATTCTTTTGACACTATTTGGCACTTGCTACCTTCGCAGTTGTTTTAAGAACACTAGATAGACACAGCACGTTATAAATCTAGAAACTTCCTGAAATTTCCGCATCATGGATACGTACCTAAAGTTATATTAGCTCTATAAATAAGAGTGAATCTCATCCGCATGCATATATATTTGAAAGGTGTAACAGTATGCTTCTCATTTCATAAAAGATTTTATTGTGGTGCAACTCGTTGTGTGTTAATTAGTTGTTTATTTGTTTTCTTCATCATCAAATTTATTCAGACGTCTATTTGTGACGTACGTGGTACATTACTTTAGATTCTTCGTCAGTTTTTGTCTATGGTACATGATATACCAAGCATCTTTCTACTATGACAACAAACCTTCTTTGACCCTTCCCCACCCTTTCTCTCTCTTTTGTTCTTTCTTTTATGGTTTATAGCTGCTTCTGAGACTATGCCCTACAGCATAAAACTTGACATATTTGTTTTTACTTTATGAGAAGGGGTTGTTATTGGAAAAATTGTTATATGGTCCAATATCACATGTGATTATGGTGTCAGCCGATCTCAATGTATAATAGATAGTCTAAGTTTTCAGTTTAAAATTAATCATCAATACACTGTCACTATAAAAAAAATTTATACTAACAACTAATCAGATCTTTTAAATTATTTTATTTTATTTTTATTTCATTAAATAAACAACTAACATAACACTATTAAAATATTTAATTAATTGCTAGTGTAAAAAAACTTTACACTAGTCGTGTATAAGTGATTAAGTGCGTGTTTGCTTTCACGTTTCAAACGTGAAAAATCACGTTTAACTTGAAAGTTACAACGTGTAGCTTCACGTTAAACGTGATTTTTCACGTTTAAAACGTGAAAGCAAACACATGCTAACTCATAAATTAATGCAACTTGATGTATGTGTTCATGAAAAAATTAATAATAATACAACTCAAAGTGTGTGAAAAATATTTACATAAAACTGAATGCCGAAGATATTTATACTTATTATGAGAGAGATATCTTTAAATATATCTTTTTGGTTTCCACTTTCTTATTCAGCACTACTATTATTAAATTTAATTATGCTACACACTTTCAGCAACTATCTTCTAAAAAGGAAAAAATATATATACGCAGGAAAAAAATGCCTCATTCTGCTACTAATTTATACATAAAATAATCATAACTATAAACATATTGTTGCATTATGAAAATTAACGATTTTTCTTATTTTACGTCCCTATTACCTTAGCTAGTTATAGTGAGGGTTATATGTTATATATTATTTTCCATCCTTTTATAAAAATTATATTTGATTATTTTCATAGGAATTAATTTAGAAGGCTTCTTGTATTAGTTTTTTTTTTTTTTACAAAAAAATTATTTATTATGGGTTATTTATATGAATTCAATAAATATATATATAT